GCGGAGTCACTTCCACACGCGTCCGTCCACGGAGTGCCGTTGATTGATGTATTTGTTCTTGTTCTTAACAAGGATCGGTAGATTGTTCGACATTCACATAGTAAGTTCCCTTAGTGAAAATATAGGGATTACGGGATACTTTTGAGCGAGAGATACTAGGAACACGTTGTTGTTGGTTACGTTAATAGAAGACAAGGTTTTTGCGTTAGTAAATATGTCAAAGATGTTCAATGTTCGTCAACGCTGTTACCCGCAATCTTGTCTAACAGAGGACTCCAAAGCCAGTCAAACCAGAAGTCAGATATCGGGGTATTTAAAAGTGCACTCGAGAAATCACCGATGAATGGAGAAATGTGTAATCTAAGTTTATAATTTATTGTGAGAGTTTGGGAGAACGGCGTACCCAAACATGATCTTCAGTCTTCAGTCTTCAGTAATAAGGATAGGAGGTCTATCGACCTATATTAATCCTTGCAGTTTGTAATACTGTGGAGGTCCAATCTCGTTTTAAATATACCAATAGAAGGTGCTGATATTACATATTCTGGTAGAGAATTCCAGTAATTCACTACTCGGTGCGAGAAACGAAACTCCAGACGTAAACGATTTGATCTCGGTTTTTGAACTCTCTTTGAATGTCCTCTCAAATGATCAGTTATGGACGGAAGTAAAAGATAAGACATGTTATCACCACGGTGATCGTTAAGTATGCGATAAGTCAATATAAGATCACACCGTATTCTACGATAAGATAACGGAAATAAGTTGAGGTTTCTGTCTGTCTTCATCAGATACGCCAGATAGACCTTAAACCATCTTAGTACCTCGTCGTTGGACTCTTTCCAGCATCTCTGCTTCATACTTAAAACAAGGACTCGCTGCTTGAATCCCACATTTTAAATGTGGTCGCACATAAATAGGGTATAATAGTCTAAACATTTCATCATCTAAATACTAGAAAGACCTACGAATAGATCATAACACCCCATAGCCTTTCGCAGCAGCAGCCTTACAGTGACTAGTGGTTTTGAGATCACTGCTAAGTTTCTTAGTTTGGGTAGCACGAATCCACATATTCTATGGTGATACGATTCATCATAGTTATTTAATTGCATCACCACACTCTTATTAGGATTTGCTTCTAGTAACCACCTGTCTAACCATGCCACCGTTGAGCAAAGATCATCCTGTGATACTATCCTATCCGACATACTGTGTATGGGTCTCCGAATCTTTATGTCATCAGCGAAGAGTAGGACGGATGATTTTGCTATAGTTGGCAATTCATATACATAAAGTAGAAAGAGAAGATGACCGACGATTGTACCTTGAGGAACTCCACTTTATACAGGTACACACGAGAAGAGAGACCCATTCACCCTTACCCTTTGTCTCCTGTCATGCAGAAAGTTAATTATCCAATCTACAACTGTATAATGGACTCCAAAACGTTCCAGTTTGAATTTAACACCAGAGTGGGAGACCTTATCGAAGGCCTTACTTAGATCTATGAATATCACATCCACAGGAGTATTCTGATCTTTTGCAGCAGCCCAACCTTCTCTTGCAATGAGAAGATTTGTCAAGCACGATAGGCCTCTCCAAAAACCATGTTGTTCCCTGGAGAAAAGATTATGCCCTTCAACATAGTTTATAGCAGATATCCGAATGATTTTTTCCATCAGTTTTACAACTGCACTAGTTAAGCTAATGGGCCTATAGTTACTAAATAAATTCCTATTCCCAGCCTTATACACCGGACTTACTATAGCGTCTTTCCAGTCTCTGGGCAGTCTGGACTGTCTTAGAAACATGTCAAACAGTGTCGCCAATGGTTCAGCAATTACATCTGATAGGGCTTTCATAATCCTAGGATGATTATCATCAGGAACACTGGACTTATCAGGTTTGATATGCTGAAGTAGCCTTAAGACAGTGCCCTTCTCAATAACTACAGGGTCCACCAGTGAGCCGCAACAATCACAATGAATCGTTGGTCGTTCCTCATTACCGATAGAAAACACTTTACTGAAATATTCCGATAAAGCTTCAGCTTTTTCGACATCATTTTCTGCCAAGATTAACGGATTTTCATGTATCAAAAGTGATGGAATTCCATCGCTTCTCTCACTCCACCCTTTTAAATACGAGGATAACCGTTTCGGACTATATCTAGAAACCCTAACCAATTATTTTTCATATGATCGTCTAGTCTTACTTATTAAAGCTTTACAGGCATTCCTAATCTTACAATAACTGGATCTGTATTGTTCTAAGCCAGTAGAGTTGAACATATTCCAGTGCTTCTTCTTTTTTCTAAGAAGTTTCCTGATTGTTTTCGTTATCCATGGTGGACTATTATTCGGTCTTCGCGGTACCAGGTATGGTATGAACGGGGACGTAACTAAAATAAACTTACCTTTAAATACAGACCATGCTTCTTCAACTGACAAGCTAGTACCTACAAACCAATCTGTCTTAGCAGAGCATTCCTGAATGGCTGATATGTTAGCTTTCCATACATTTTGGCGGGGTGTAACCCGATCGTATAACGTGTCCCTAGTTCTAAACATGAACGACAAAACAGCGTGATCGCTGTTCACTAATGGCGTAAGAGTATTTAGGTCAACAATATCCTCAGTCTCATGAGTGATTACCAAGTCCAACAGAGAAGAACCTTGGTTAGCACCAAGACGTGTGGGTTTGGATACATGCTGCACTAGTGCATGCTCCATTATTGTTACCAGGAACCTACTATCAAAGGAGTTTATAGATCCTTCCGTGGTCATCTCAGTCCAACTAATATCGGGTGCATTAAAGTCTCCTATTATCAAACATCTGATGTTAGCACTTCAAAGATGAATGTGCTCTAAAATAAAGCCATCGGTTAAGCAGATCGGGCTGCGATAGATGACACCAAGCATAAATGTACTACATCCAATAGCCAATTTACAGCTAATGATTTCACAAGTACCGCTATCATGGGATTCGCTAGCAGAGGAGCAGATATTTATATTATTGGCTATATATAACAGGACGCCACCTCCTTTTCTACATCTATGTCTATCACTTCTGAGATAATGGTATCCGAATAATTCTGGGGTAATGTCTAAGTCATGGACTAACCAAGTTTCTGTCACTGCTACGATGAGTGGCTTTACTCTGTCCACTAATTCTTCAAGTTCATAGAACTTATTTCTTAGACTACGAGCATTGGCATATAAAACTCCTAAGTAGAACGGACTATTCACACAGGCTTTGATAGAATTCGCTTCCAAGACCTGGGTATCCGAAAAGCCACTAGCCAGAGATTTTCCTCACCGTTTAGCCGACGGGTTTCTAGTTCAGCTAATGCTTTCTTTTTATTCTATCTTCGAGAAACATATCAGGTCTAATCCGTATATCGTCATTGTCGTGACAACGAGCGCCACTTAACAGGAGATCCTGTTGATTCTCCGATCCTAGGACTACCTTAAAGAGTCTACATGGGCGGGGTTCAACGTTTTCCTCAGTCCCCTTACCTATTCTAACCACTTTTTTGACCTGAACTCCTTTAGAGTCATCTGATAAGATACTACGAATATATATTCTCAACTTCTCTATATCATGCGCGTGTTTAATTTTGGGATCAGGGTCGTTTGACTCCAGCAATTTACTCACAATAATATTTGATGAGATTAGATTCTTCTTTTCACTCACGCCGGGGTATGTTTCTCTCGTACAATCAGATTTTGGCAGTGCATCAGATTTTGGTAGTGCATTTAGTGACTTACAGTGGGAGTCCATCAGTGACTTGCTAACCATCTGCGTACTGCCTACAGCCTTTTTCTTTTCGTTTTCTCCGTACTGTAGTCCATTTTTCATTCCTCAGGACACTGGGACTATTTGGATCAGTGACGGTTTTATCCAGATCTTCAGTTTCCACTAGGGGCGCATGGTTACCAATGTCAGTGTCAGGTGGTACTACCCCTGTCGTTCATGTTAACGGAGATTTCACTTTTCCGTCAGTCAAAGTCGGTTGTTTAAAGCGTCTCGTAACAGCACGTACTACACTGACACATTCGTCACCGTCAGTGCTCGTGTTATCAGCGCATGCGCCATCGTTCTTCTTACAGGCCAAAGCCAATAGGCTCATAGTCTTCTGTATTAGTGACGCCTTATTTGCACAGCAAAACATGCAGAGCCAATGTGAGTTAGACTTCGAACATCTCTCGTATACAGTGGGACTTAAACGGGTGCACATCTTATGAAACCACTTTTTGCATTCATCACACTGCATTCCTTCATCCACAGGGAAAAAACAGTTTGGTTGTCCACATTTGTGAGTACTACCAACCATCCTAGTTAGATTATGGTGTAAAACACAATATGATCATAGTATGAACACAGTGTCAGTCAACGAGTAAAAGTGTACTACAAGACAAACTTTGGCAAGATCCCAAACCTTAACTAAAGTACTTTGATTTAGACCAAGAATGCTTCCTAGCAATAATTACACAAAAGCAAGGATAATCACAACAAGTACAAAATCACTGCCCTTTTTGAAACACCGACGACAAACTAATATGGAAGCAGAAACGGTGCTGTAATCGAATACTTTAACTGAAACAAATTCAACTAAAGTGAAAACATTAGTCTTGATACGTAATAATGATCGAAACAATAGAATTTACTCAACGAGGAAAAATACATTTGGTCCAGATATCTGACTGAGCGCCTTCAGCTGGGGGTGTGTCTTGCAGAACTAACATGATTGAACTTCATGTCATAAAGTATCTAGATAAGAGAACATGTCATTTCAGAACTGCGATCAGTTTTCTATAAACCAGACCTATAGTAACCAACGACTCACTGTCCCTGTTCAGGAAAGTCTTAGTTTCACAGTTTTTGAGCTCCTTATCAGTCACAGAGAAGGTAAAAAGGGCTTAAAACATATCATCTCCCTGCATCAAAACCTTTTTCATAGGTTAGAAACACGACTTGTTTTAACTTGCGTTTGATTTACATGTAGATAAAGCGCCTGAATGAGTTAAGCCGTTGCAATGAGATTACGACCGTTTCTTTCGAATATTTTTGTCAAGCGTTGTGTGAATATCACTTCTCCTTGTCATACATGTACAGCTTTTAAACCGATTTGTTTTTCAGACCATGGTTCTTATTTCGCCTCTAGGTAAGTCTACTTTAAATCTACAGGTTCTTCAGAAAACACCAACGCACTTTAACTATAGTAAACCACTTGTTTCCGTCGTATATCTTGGTCTTCAATTAGACTAGACAAATTGACATAGAAATGATTCCCAGAAAAACTACTTACACAGACAATTTTACTCTATATACAGTTTTGCAGTTAAAGATCTGTCACAACTAGATTATAATGAAGATCTAGCTCTTGGATTCGGTGATTGTTAACGCAAACGCTCTTATACTCAAGCTTGTTATCACTTTTTAATATCTTAATATCAACCTATTCCCTTCGATTAACACTACCAATTTCTAGACGTTCTAGCTCTCTGTCTGTCTTTTCAGTCTAAAAACCCTTCGTAAAGCTGCGATTAAAAATTACAGGGTTTTGAGAGTCGAAATTAATTATTTAGCGATCATTTCTACTCGCTGACCAACCTACAATGACCGGGGTGAGTGAATCAGTGAGATTTGCAACTACTTAAGGTATTGACTACTCAAATCATCTCCCTTAATTTCGATAATTAGCACTCTGCGTTTATTTTTCAAGTCCACTCATTCATTACCAACATTTCAGGCCCATCCTACCATTTCTCATAGACTTTTGCGTCCTAGAATTTGACCGTGTATACAACCACTAAAAACAAAATCGTTTATTGGTTTTCAGATATAAGTTGCTTTCTAAAAGATTCTTTTTTGCTACTACCACTCATATGGGATAGATGAGGACTCTTCTATTATTTATTCAAGGTTTGCAAGTTTTCACTATAAAATGTATAGGTTCGTCTAGAAATTCACTTTGATTTCCCTTGTCATGTATCTAACTCAGTTTACACGTTATCCTTCTTAAACGCTGATAAAAATAATGTAGCAGTTGACTGACGTGCATTATTGGGACTCACTATAAAGAAAAACATGTTTAGTATTCTCTAATAACCTGAAACTACCCAAAGGTTCTGGAAAACAGTTGAACTGATACGCTCTCTGATTTGCTCTAACCATATATTATTTCTCATCGTCTAATTCTTCGCTCGACAGGAAGATTATTTTAAATCACTTTCTTGAAAGTGGAGAGTGATTTCTGAAGTCCTGAATTCTTTGATATAAGCTGACAACCCAATACTATTGCTGATTGTATTTTTATATTCGATGGTCTAAAGGTTGGTTCTAGAATTTTGTATAAAACTGTGGAGATTGTATAAAAATTTTGTTTTCTTTTTGTTTAATCAGGATATCTTTACGACATCTGCACTTCAGTCCCTATATTTTTGCTATACGTGTAGTTAATGTACCTCCATTCGCCGAATCTGTCACAGAAGGGGATATTGTATGGAAAAAGGCCGTCGGTGATACAGTAAATGTAGACGATTTGGTTGCGGAAATCGAGACTGACAAAACTAATGTCCCTGTCCCAGCCCCATGTTCAGGTGTGATAACACAATTTCTTGTTGAAGATGGGGGAAAAGTTACTGCAGGTCAAGATATTTTTAAAATGGAGGAGGGTGCTGTTCCAACTTCCACGGTTTCTGAAAAGCTACCCCAAGAGACTGCAAAAAAGCAGCCTGAAGAGAGGCCTCTCGTCTCACCTCGAGCTCCTTCACCAGTTACTCCACCTCCAGAAATAGCTCAAAGTCTTGCAACAACTTCATCCTTATCCCCATCTCTTGATAGTGCACGTGCAGAACAGCGTGTAAAGATGAGCCGTATGAGGCTTCGGATCGCCCAACGTCTAAAAGATGCCCAGAATACGTGTGCAATGTTAAGCACATTTAATGAGATTGATATGTCAAATCTTTTCGAACTTAGAAGGCAGTATAAAGATATCTTCTTAAAAAATCATGGTGTGAAGTTAGGAATGATGTCTACGTTTGCTAAAGCTTCTGCAGTTGCTCTTATGGATCAACCAGCCGTCAATGCTGTCATTGATGGCCCGGACATTATATATAGAGATTATGTTGATATTAGTATTGCAGTGGCAACCCCTAAGGGTCTTGTTGTTCCTGTGTTGCGCAATGTTGAGAAAATGAATTATGCTGATATTGAACGTGGTATCAATGATTTAGGTGTGAAGGCCCGTGACGGAAAACTGGCTGTTGAAGATATGGATGGAGGGACGTTTACAATTAGCAACGGTGGTGTGTTTGGCTCATTATTTGGTACCCCTATAATCAATCCACCCCAATCTGCAATCTTAGGTTTGTATGGCGTATTTGATCGACCGGTTGCACGAAATGGACAAGTTGTCATCCGTCCAATGATGTATGTTGCCCTAACTTATGATCATCGTTTGATCGACGGTCGTGAAGCAGTAACGTTTTTACGTAAAATCAAGGAATTTGTTGAGGATCCACGAACATACTTTCTTCAGATTTAAACAATATGCTTTTTATGAAAAGTATTTCAAGTACATTGTTAATTTTCAAGTTTTAAAATTTATTCAAGTTTTCTTTTCATCTAGCGTTCTAAAATGCAAGTAGTAACAATTACAAACCTTTTAGTTTTTGTATACATATATATACAAGTATTCGTATAGTACTTTCATAACTTTCATATTTCAGTTGTTCATGAACAGAGTATGTATTATTTGTTCTTAGTTTATGGAAGAATAATCTGTTTCTTAGAGTTTCTGCAAGGTATTTGTATATTTTATTCTCAATAATTATTTCTGACCCATTTTTATGCGCCAGACTCTGTAATTCTTAATCGTATACTTATATATTTAAGTATATATTATTAGTTCATCCTTAATTAATTTGTCCTTGTAATGATTTTATAGAGTTATTAAAATGCAGTAATCTGGTTGACAGTAGCTCTATGAGTTTTTTTTCAGATTTTTATTTGATATTCAACTACAGTGGGGATAATTAGATAGTTGTACTGTTTAGTCAACTAAATTTTGTCTTATCCTCTGTTGCGGCACAAAGTGTATCGTCTATTTTGAGGCAGTCAACGAGAACTAAGCCTAAATATGCTCGTTAATTATTGCATTTACGTCATCCAGGTGACTATTTGTGCCTATGAAATTCTAATCTTTACTCTCTTAAACTTAAAATCTCTCTTCGTCTTAGATCTTTCTGGCTTCTGAAAGATTTCTTGGACTATTTGCTGCTGTAATGCTATCATAATTACTTCGTCAACTCATTCGGCATTAGTAGTTATTTTTCTTACAGGTTCTGTATAATAACTCATATAGTGACATTAAAATTGAATATAAGGGGAAGATGCTATTTGTAACGGCATTTGGAACGAAGACTAACTTTCAAGTATTCAAATCATATTCATAAAAGACGTATTCCTTAATGCATGTTTTCTTAATAGTACTCATTTGGTTGATATCTGAGATACCCGACCGTTGTTGCTACCTTGACGTGGTGGTCGGGCTTGCCTATCGTGATGAAGCAACCGAGCTATACTGCCTGGAACAACCGTTCCTCAAGGTCCTACCATGTCAGACAGGTCGTTTGAAGAGCGGTAAGACTAAAAGCAACAAACCCAAGGTCCGAAGGCGAAGTCGTACTGCTGACTGTAGAGAGGTGTGACAGCAGTAAGGTGTTTCCTTCAGACAACCAGCATGACAGCGATGCTGCCTTCCCACAAGGAGGGGTGGGGTTAGAAAAGGTCGACCCTAAAAATGCACACCTCGCCTTATCCCACGGATATCCGTCTCCGGCGGTAAGGTCTCAATAAGTACGGAGCTAACACAAAAATTACCCATAACAAGGTCGTGTGTGACCGACCTCAAGCAGTTGTCCCTTGGGCACTGCGGTCACGCTCTCAGGTCACTAAGACCACCTTTAATCCAAATTCCTTTTCAGGTACCTCCAGAAGAACCCTTCCACGGTGTGGGCAACCGGGAAGTGATAATCGCCCTCATACCTCTAACAGCACTGAAGACCACTGTATTCATAATCAACCTTCCTCTTCAATTCCTATTATTCCTCCTACATCGACTTTCAACTTTAAATTTCCTCTCTCGGCTTCCACCTCAAGTGTCACCATAGCCAACGATTCTAGTGCGCAATATACTGTCCCAGGTCTACTGAAACCTCGCTCCAAACTACACATTGGAGCCTTCAACGTACGAACCCTATGTCAAATCGGTCAGCAGGCTTCCTTGGCTAAAACCCTAGAGTCTCTTACCATTGACGTGTGCTGTGTCTCCGAAACACGCATACAGGATTCCAGTGTGGTCATTCACTTGACCTCACCTCGGCAAAACGGAGAGCCAACGAGGTACACCCTTCGTGTATCTGGTGACCCGATGGCAAGTTCTCGTGGACTGGCAGGTGTAGGCATAGCACTAAGCATGAGGGCCGAACAAGCACTGCTAGAGTGGATCCCCGTCAACAGTCGTCTATGTGCTGTTCGGCTGAACGGCTACGTAAGAACTCGGAAGGATAGGAACACACGTCGTTGCCTTTTTGTCGTTTCTGCCTACGCTCCCACCGACTGCAGCTCAGATGAAGTGAAAGATGAATTTTACAGAAAGCTGTCCGAACTTCTTCAGAAAGCTAAACGCTCAGACATAGTACTCGTAGCAGGTGATTTTAATGCCCAGATAGGTAGTTTAAACCAAACAGAAAGGCATTTAGGTGGGGTATTTTAGTATTCCGGAACAACGAACAGATAATGGTGATCGTCTGCTGCAACTGTGTTCAGACAATCGTTTATTTTTAGCAAACACAACTTTTAAGCATAAGGAGAGACATCGTCTAACATGGCGACCCCCTACACCAAACCAACGATGGACTCAAATAGACCATATTGCCATCAGTCATCGTTGGAGAGGGTCGATAGAAGATTGTCGCTCATTCTGGAGTACCTGCTTGGACTCCGACCACGCCCTAATACGGGCACGCATCTGCTTGCGCCTCACTGGACGCAAAAAAGCCACATTAAAAAGACCCGTTAGAACTGAGTTGAGTAACGAGAAAACCAAAAGTAGGTTCCAGGAACAGCTGAGGTCACACTTAGGTAGTTGTGAAGACGAGGCTGACCCAGATGTTGCTTGGAAGGGCATACAATCAGCTGTGGAAACAGCAGTGACATCTATTAGCGACTTAAACCACAGAGTCTCAAAGAACCAGTGGATTTCTCCAAAGTCTATCACACTGATGGATTCTCGCAAACTCGTCCCATCAGGTTCTGAACATGATGAAGAGCGAAAACAAATCAGATCTAGGTTAAGAAAAAGTCTAAAGAACGACCGTGAGCAGTGGTAGGTAATGAAAGCAAAAGAGATGGAAAAGGCGGCGACTATAGGGAACACAAGACAGCTCTACAGACTAATAAAAGAAACTGGAATTAATAAGTCAAGTGTAAGTGAGATTATTTCGGAAAAAGATGATACTCTCATCTGCTCCCAGTCCAGACGTTTAGAACGATGGGAGGAACATTTTAGAGAACAGTTCAGCTGGCCTTCAGCTACTCTACAACTACCCTCCATTCCCAGACAATGTGAATGGAACATTGAAGTAGGTCCCCCGACTCTTGTTGAAGTTCAAAAGGCTATAGTTAATCTGAAACGAGGAAGGGCAGCTGGTCCAGATGGATTGGCTCCAGAGGTCTTTAAGGATGGTGGTCCAATTTTAGCGAATAAGTTGACTAATATTTTAGCTAAGATCTGGGAATTAGACTTTATCCCATCTGACTGGTCGCAATCACTTATCGTCCCAATATATAAGAAAGGGTCAAAATCATCCTGTGACAACCACAGAGGGATTAGTTTAACAAACAGTATCTAAAATACTGGCCTCGATAATTATCAGACGCCTAACTAAGACTCGTGAACTGCAAACACGAGAGAACCAAGCTGGCTTTAGACCTGGTCGTGGCTGCATCGACCACATATTCACCATTCGTCAGGTTCTAGAACACAGGCATACCTATCGGCGTCCGACGATGGTGGTCTTTCTTGACTTAAAAGCAGCATTTGACTCGGTAGACCGCGAGACTCTGTGGCAGTGTCTGTCATTGAAAGGCGTACCTCAGAAGTACATAAACCTTGTGAAGGCTCTTTACTCGAACACTACTAGTCGAGTCAGAGCTTATGGCGAACTGTCATCTACTTTTGCAACCTCAAGTGGTGTCCGTCAAGGCTGTCCACTTTCTCCATTTTTGTTTAACTTCATCATAGACCTATTGATGGAAATAACACTCTCGTCGACTGAATTCTCGGGTATTGATCTCCATCCAGGAGGTCCACTTATCGACTTAGAATACGCAGATGACATAGTCCTGTTTGGTGAAGACGCTGATAGAATGCAGAGTCTTTTGGTAGCACAAGGCAACAATGCCAGAATGTTTGGAATGCGCTTCTCTCCCTCTAAATGCAAGTTGTTGCTTTAGGACTGGTTTGCGTCAACACCTGAACTAAGGATAGGGAGTGAAGTAGTTGAACGCGTTGACAACTTCACTTATCTTGGAAGTCTAATCAGCCCTAATGGGTTGGTGTCTGACGAAATCTCAGCACGGATTCGAAAAGCTCGTTTGGCTTTTGCCAACTTACGTCACCTTTGGCGAAGGCGAGATATCCTTCTATCAATAAAAGGACGAGTATACTGCACGGCAGTTCGTTCTGTTTTAATTTACGGCAGCGAAACATGGCCCTTAAGAGTAGAAGACACCCGTAAGCTACTAGTATTTGACCACAGATGCCTTAGAAATATTGCTGGCATCTGCTGGGATCACCGGGTAAGTAATAGTGAGGTTAGACGCAGGGTATTATGGAATGATGGTAAACCAGTCGATGAGGTTGTGAATCTTCATCGACTGAGATGGATGGGCCACGTGTTACGTATGCCTGAACACCGATTACCACGACATGCAATGCTAACCGGCGTTCGGGATGGTTGGAAGAAAGTTATGGGCGGCCAAATCTAGACGTGGCATCAGTGCTTGAAGTCACTAACTTCTAGTCTGAGCCATGTTGGTAGATGCAGACTACTTGGTTGGGGTCCGCATGACTATCGTAACCAATGGTTGGAGACTCTTGGTGACATGGCGTAGGTGTATACACTCTCTGTCTTCCCTTAAACTAAGAGATTAAAATCGCTTCATATCTTGCTTTCTGTGAACTAATTCTTTCTTCCTGTACTATATCTTTGTTACAGTCTTTCTTTTATATATTATCACCTCTGAATTAACTACTTTTATGAATGCGGTGTTCATCTTGCTGTGCTAATGAGGTATGGCAACCTGGACCGATGCACATATGTGCCTGGTCCTACGTTGTAGCTGACTGACTGACTGATATCTGAGATTAGTTACTCAGTGTCAGTCAATAAATCGAGCATTCTGAAAAGTGTTGTACCTGTTCTCGCCTACAGAATTAACATCTTAACCTGAAAATCAAGAATAACTCATTTCTTCGGTCAAATTTAATGTTTATTCTGATAGTTTTTCTTTATTTCGTAGCTCATTAACCCTTCATACAAGATTTATCCTGTATAAAGAAATTGTACAACAACGTTCTGTAATACTTCCTATCAATATAGAAATGAGCCGTTTGCATAGAAATTTTTATACGATAAGTACGGTTATTCAGTAAAGCGTAATGCTGGTAAGGTTGGGTAGACTCACTAAAAGTTCAGTAAATGCGTATTACGAATGATTATAAATTAATGATATACTTGTGATTCTCCAGTGGGTATATATTAGGATGTACAAAAATTCGTGACATAGTGTGAGGCAATTCTTCTGAGTAAATAAATAACAATGAAAACACAAGTTTGGTTAGTATAGAGGAACTATCAATATAAACCTGGTTATGTCAATGTCATGTCATTTTTAGTTCAGGTGATTTTGGG